GGATATAACTGAATCAGTGACTTCTCTGATCCATGCGAAAACACCCAATACCTCAACATTATCTATACTCTCAAGCTCTTTAATAACTTACATAATGCAGAAATTTTGGATGGACATTTTAATTGGACTCTGCCTAGGTTCCCACCAACCCAGTCCCATTAGGTCTCCTCATCTCCTCATGTTTGGTATCTACAGCCTATACATGGTGCTAACCTCCAACCGCAGGCTCATTAGAGGCTATAGCACCACACCTCACACACACAGACACACACGTACACATACCTGGTTCAAATCCTAAAATAGCTCTCTGGGTCGGCAGCAGCATCCCTCCAGGCTGCCTTCACTCCCGGGCCGCTTGTTAACAGTCTGACATCGTCTCTACCCAGTGGTGAAAGGAACAGCGGTGTACATGTAAGCGCATACAGAGGCCACAGACAGGCTGGGTGAGGCTAAGTTTGGACAGAGCCTTCACTTGAACTATATATTAGCAAAGCAGAGATGCAAAAGTAACAAGGGACTGCACTGATACAGATCTGAAGTGTCATGGGAGGTTTTGTGAACAGCTGTTGGAGTACAGTTGCCTGACCAGCCAGTCCCTTCTAGATTTGATGAGAATAGAAGTGGACCACAGAAAAAAGCTCTGTCCAAACATGAGACAATCCACCCACAGCGCCTCATTTGTATCACGTGTCTCACCTCTTCATCTCCTCTTGAAAATCCTTGTAACATTCTGAACAAAATACAAAATATAAAAATTGGGACAGTCCGATCACAGAAAACAAATTAACTTCTGTGATTTTTCTGTGTTAAAATGTCCATCCAAACTCTCTCCATTATGTGAGCAGCTTGAAAGTATAGATGTTGTTGAGACACGGGGTGTTTTGCATGGCATGTTATGAGAGTTATATTATGAATTTGGATCAAAGAAGTCATTGTATTTATGGTGAAGATAACTGTCATACCCTCAAAAGTGGTTGGTGTTTTCCCAATGTAGCATGGAGAGTCTTTCAAATGCAGATGACTTTCTCCTCTTGAATATTTAGATGAAAAGAATCAAACTTCTTTTACTTGAGATACAAAATAGTTCAGTGCTTTTCTTGTTGATTCTGAAGAAACAGTTTTTTAGTCCCTTGCATTTTATATAATTTATTTTTGTTGGATTGTTGATGCTTGGTTGACCCACCTGTCCATAACACCTCATCTGAATCGTGCAGATTGAATACAGTTCCAGTTTCAAATGTGTTTTTAAAGCATTGTAAAAGTCGTTTGGCTGGCCAGAAAAGTTCAGAGGCAGTGATTAGCTGACAATAAAAGATAAAAGAGTACTTTAAAGAATACTAAATACCTGCATTCAAATGTGTTTTGTACAGGAATGTAGTGGGCGTGGTACACAGGGGTTCATGATATCTCCAGTACTGTCCTATAGTGACCTGCGACATGAGGAGACCAGGACTGAACCAGGACTGAACCAGGACTAAACCAGGACTAAACCAGGACTAAAACAGGACTAAAACAGGTTTAAACCAGGTCTAAATCAGGACAAAACCAGGACTAAACCAGAACTGAACCAGGACTGAGTGTTGGGACAGGCCCAAATGCGTGCCCGTGTAAACTGTCAGGTGACCGCAGGAGAAAGAACCGGCACAGAGCACTTGGTGTAGTCCTAGTTTAGTCCTGGTTTAGACCCGGTTTAGACCCAGTTTAGTCCCGGTTCAGTCCTGGTTCAGTCCTGGTTCAGTCCTGGTTTAGTTCTCCTGGTTTAGTCTCAAATTGCGTACCACGTGCCACTTAAAAAATCCCCACTACACCACTGATTTTGTAACATATTCTGATACATGGTTCAATCAGGGTAATGAATTCTGAAAACTTAGAATGCTTTATACAGACTTATATTTGTTTCAGCGTTTGTTTTCTAACACTAAAACTAAAACTATACAAGCACTCATCACAAGAGCTGTGTTTTCTATTTTTCTCATTGATTATATGCAGTTTGAAGCCTAAATTGTGTGATCAAGTTACACCATGTTACTTTGATTGTAGAAAATAACTGTAATCTGAATAACACCAAACACTAAACTAAGGCTACATTCAGACTGCAACCTGAAGTGACCCAAATCTGATTTTTTGGGCCCTATGTGACCTGTATCTCATCTTTTAATGACTGAACAACACAGATCCGATCTTTTGAAATGCGACTTCAGTCTGAACGGCCAAAGCGCATTCATCCCATCTGCACGTCATCAACAAGCCACAAATGTCACTATTCTGCGCTGAAGTAGGCAAAAATTGTTAATCAACTCCGTGTCACTGAAGCAAAGCACATCACCACTCACCACTCTTGGCTACGTCTGCACATCCACACGTTACTTTCAACAGACGTTGCTGCCACTGTCCCACAAAACACCATGGCCAAAAACCTCGTTCTTCTCCTTCTCAATCTCCTCCTTAAAACAAGTAAGTTGTTCATGTTCTGGCTCTGGTACGAGAGGAACTTTAAAATCTCCAGGTGCTCAATGCTCGCGTCCATGTTTGGACAACTTACGTAAACACAGAGCACGCTCGCTGTGGTTGACGTCATCGTGTCTCCAGTGAGCATGCGGGACACTTTTGGGCCATTTACTGTTCACACTGGAAATCACATACAAGTCGCATTTAATTTGGAATGTGAATGACCTTGCAAAAACATCAGATTTCACAAAAAAATCTGAACTGAGCATTAAGCCTGCAGTCTGAACGTAGCCTTACTCTACTAGAAAACAGTTACAGAAAATTAGTATTCAGTATTCATACAGTACATGTATTCAGTACTTTGCAACACTGGGCACCTGGTAGTGAGTTAGTGTATTAAACAAGTGAAGAGTTTGTCCTCAAAGTTGTTTAGGTACAACAAGGGAGCTGAAGGACTTGTGCCTATTTGACAAGGGTTAATCTGATAATGCCTGGACCATGTGCCAAACTGCAGCTCATGTGGGGTTGTCTGTCAAAAGTGGTTCAGAGAAAGAACAATAGTTGAATGCATGTGGGGACTGGAGCATAAGCCGGGCAGTGATACTGAGCTGCTGTAACGCAATTTGTTGAAGTTAATCCTGGTTCTGATCGAGAGGTGTCAGGACACGGTGTGTACTTCACACTTGGTTAAATTATGCACTAGATCCTGAATATATGGCGCCTGTATTTATTATTCATTAAATTACATGCATTAACTGAAGCTACTCATTGCCACAGCAGCACTTGGATGCACGGTGATTCTGCCACCACCGGTCTTACTTCCACACACAAACGGGCAAGATAGGTGTCCTGCTCAAGAGCACAACAATAATATGTAGCTCCAGAGAATGAACTGTCTACTATTTGGCCTTTTTATTACGTTATAACATTATTCATTTATTGCTCTGTCATAAATAAATAAATCAGAAATGATGATTTAGATTTAGTGATGTAGATCATTATATTATACTTTATTATACTTCTGGACAAAAAGCACATAAGTATGGGCAACATTTTTTGAATATTCCAGTTCCAGAGTTTAAATGAAAAAAATAAAAATCATTCACAAGGTTGTGTTTGGAGATAGAGGATAGGTGAAAACTGAAATTTTCTGAGCAGTCGAGTCTCAAATGCAGGGTCAAACAGAATTACACAAACATGCATGAATGGATCAAAACATATCCACATAAATGACAAATATGAGTTCATAAGACATATTTTTTTGGAATTTCCTTCAAGGTAAAAAGTACACAAAAGTAATAAAAACATGCTGCAGAGTCCAAACGCCTTGATTGTTTTTCTCACCTTTTCTCTGACAGACAAATGTGTCAAATTCATCCCGGGCTGATTATAAGGCCTTGTCCTACAGAAGCTCACTAGGGTCAAACTATGCAACTGTCTGCCACCCACAGCATCAAGTGTGACACCCACATCAATAATGAAAACCTTAAAACCTCAGCACCCTCGTCTCCTGCTTGCTACGGGGTGAAACGTGACGTAACTGTCCCGGGCGTCTGCAAAGTCAAACCTCTGCAAACTCATTTCACACCTCAGAAAGAAAAAATAATAAAAAGGGCGACATTATAATAACTGGTCTTAAAGGTGCATGGTGTAACTTTTCTGGTGGAAGGTCTGTCAAATGCTTTTCTCCATGGAAATATTATTGCTTTGTCTGGATGTATGATTCGCAGTATGGCACTAAAACCTTTGTGTGTTCATGGAGACCAAACCAGATCGAGTTACAGGTCAGATCTGGGGAGTCAGAAAGCCTGTTTTTCTAGGTATTTTTGAGCTGTAAAACAACCTGTAATTTAATAAATGCAAGGCAGAGCTGTTTAATGTAATACTGTGGAACATTCCAGGCAGAACAATGACTTATCCATTGAAACAAGCCAGTGATGGACCCCCAACCAAAAACTTACACAATGCACCTTTAAAAGCCTTGTACCATTTTCTTTTTTACTTCAAAACAGAACTAGTTCATTTTTAACTGTATGTAGCAGTCCGAAGTTATTCCTCACTTCTACTTCAATGAGTTCATAAGCTTGTTTTACAACTTACAACAAAGGCAGAACAGAGTTTAGGCATCATGTGACTGCAGCCAACTAGCATGCTAAGAGCACACCAGCACTTCCTGGTTCACGGACATTAAAAATGCTTTATATTTAGATGCTGACAGCACAAGGTGGACTAACATTGACTGTAAGAGCTGCATTATAATAAATACATCTGTACTTTTTACTTTATTACGTAAAAAAATGTGGCACAGTCCATTCATAAAAAAAAAAAAAAAAAAACTTCCTCTGATCTTTTTTAATCTATGCGTGAGTTTTACTTTTTCCTTGAAATACCAGTATTTTTGCACTTAGTTGGAGTGGTTTATGTAAGACACTTCTGTAATCACTTTTATTGCTTTTATGGAGAAAAAATACAGATATGACAAGTCTGTATCAAAAGGCACATTGGGTTGAAAATAACACAAGTGCTCCTTTTTGCGCAGTGCCAGTACTCACCAGTAGAATCGATTGGGGGCCACTCTTTCGTGCACGAGCTGCCACCTCCGTCCAAACTCCACCGAGCTGTACAACTGTGAAATAAAACGCAGGGAGTTAGCGAGAAATCAGCATCGAAGTAGGTTACAGTCCTGCTTACATTAGAATTAAATTCATCCATCTCTTATATGTCTGGTATACCACTACAGTACTGTACATATACAATACATAAAAGTATAATTAAATTAGCCTAGACTACCACTATTTATTCTACTATTTATACTAACAACTACGTATCCAATCAGCCCTCAACAATCAATAAGTACATCAGTTTAGCAACATATTTTATTTTTAAACAGGGTGAAATAAACAAACATTGTGAACAGGGTAAAGTCACATTTTAAACTTAATTCTTCTGAATGATTCACCGTGTATAGTAAACTCACTATACAAAAGAGCACAAAATTATTGCAGGTAGCAAAAAAATTGCTGTAAAGGAAGCCCTACCCAACTTCCCTATTCTTATCAGCGGTGAGAGGAAACACAATTCACAGTAAAAGCGTGACTTAAATGTCAAATTCACTTTACTATTCAAAATGTCTGAAAGCCCACTATTGTCTGCTGTTGTCCATACAATTCTGCACTGTCCATAGGCTGTATAGGGTAAAGCAGTGAGGATAGTCGCACATTTATGAATGGGCAGAGGAGAATGGAGTACAGAAGGGCGCTCAAAGTGGCCATTACTGAATCAGGGCCTATGTGGAGCAACTGTCCACAGTGGATCCACAGTGAGAGGGAGGGAACTGTCTAGAAAATACACTGTTCATTTGGTAGGCACATAATAGAGGACAGGAGGGGTGGTGTGTTCAGTGGGGATTCCAAAAAAAAAAAAAATTCCAATTATTTTTTTTAATTGTTGTTTTTCTGTGATCAGTTTTGCAGTATTTTCAGGTCAGAACAGAACTGAAACAGAAAATGCAGATGCTCCAAGACAAATATGTTCTATATATAAGGTCATATACGGCTCTATATTAACCAGCTTTTGACTATTGTGAGCTGTATGTCATTTTATAATGTTACCTCCTCAAAAACATACCTGAAGTTGTGTTTTGTTTCAATCACACACTTAAGCAATCCTGGTTTATCAGTCTGTCTACCAAGCTCAAAATGTTCTGTTCCGCCTTGTGATGTCATGAAGCAGTGGCTTTCAAATTGACAGCTACCTTTTACCTTTTGTTCTGTAGAGACTGGCAATTCCAGAACTGAAATTATCCAAATGATTCAAGTGAAGATGTATGGAGTACACACAGTAAAGTGCTTCCTGTATTACACCACATGACATTCAAAGTGGAACAGAGTGCTTTCTGCCTGAGAGAAGAACTTAAATATCCTAAATGTGCAGGATTTGTGTGTTAAACATGTGCGAATGAAGCAGCACTGTCCAGATTAATTGTGATGAGGAGACAACATTATAACACAGATCAGAAAATAGCGGAATAAGGGGCCTGTAAGTATTTTTAGCTTGTATGAAATTGTAGCCTGTAATCAGTAAGAACATATTGTATAGTTTTTATTGTTAGTTAGTTGTCCATAGAAACTTAATTGTACAATGATTGTCATTGCACACACACAAAAAAAAAGCCTGCAGTAATCAAAATATATATGATAGACTATAGGACAGAATTTGTGTGTTTCTTTGGATAAGTGCATCAGTGTTGATTTAAATATATATTATAGACTATATCATTGTCGAGAATAGAGAAACATTTAGTAAACTGTCTGAGACCGGAGGAAAACGGAGTCAGGTGAGTTTCTTCATTTTGAGTTATTAAGACTGATTTGGGATGAACGGAGCAGGATTGATTTTTCTCATACTGCATTGCCATATGGTGCAAGACAGAGACGGCGTGATGTCTCCTTGACTGTTGAGACTTCTGCCTGAATCAGTTTCAATTAAAGTGTCTGATTTTTTATTTCTTACAATTCGTCTTCTTTCATTTCAGCTGATGCCTTTCACAAACTAACTGCCTCTTTGTCACATTGTGAATTGTGAGTGGTCTGATAGATCCATTTGCATGATATTGCTTCTAAATGAGAACTTGTTGAAAGTCCTTGTGAGCTTTTAGCCATGTTAGAATGTCGTTACCTCATCAAAAAAATACCTGGAGTAGTGTTTTGTTTCATTCACACATGTTTGAGTAATCCTTTATTAATGGTCTGTCTACATCTCTGTGGTGGACACCTCTGCCACCACTCCACAGTGTTAGTATTATTTCATTTTATTTCATTTACATCAATATGAAAGCCCTGAGAGGCAAGAGAGGAAAAAAAAAAAGAGGCAGGTCATTTGGGCTCTATTTTCAAAGTGTTTTTATTTTTTTCACTTTTGATGTGGCTGAAAAAAAAAAATAAAAAAATAAAAAAAAAGAACAAAAAAAAAAAAAAAAAACAAGAGAAAACGGGGAAAAAATTAGCTGCTTATGGAAAATGAAAATTAATTAATTAATTAATTAATAACTTTTTTTTTGTAATTTTTTTTTTTTAGAATTTTTTTAAAATTAATTTATTTTTTTGAGTTGGTGAAAAAAAAAAAAAAAAAAAAAAAAAAAAAAAACAGCCCAAATGACCTGCCTCTTTTTATTTTTTTTTCCTCTTGCCTCTTGGGTCTTCTGTACATTAAGTTAATTACAGCACATAATTTAATTCCATTATTTAGACTTATATTTTAATTTGGGTGCGCACATTTTAGTATAAGTCTGAATTATTTACTTATTTGCTACTTTTTTACTGTTTAGGGTCACTTCATTATCACTTATTATTTTCTGTATTATAGTTTGCCTTCTTGTTAGTTTGATTAAGTTAGTAGTTTTACTTAATTATTTAGTGTAATTCACCCCTGTTGTGTTGAGTTTTAGTTGGCCCTCATGTATTTAAACTCCCCTGTTCCTTTGTCCGATTGGGTTAGTTTTGTTCTGTTCAGTTTGATTTAAGTTACCCCAGTTGGGCCCAGCTCTTTGTTAATGATTTTCCTCATTTGAGCTTTTTGACTTTATTAAATTTAAACTTGTCTTTGGCTTTCTGTTTGGTCCACTACAATCTCCAAAGCTCAAAATGCTCTGTTCCAGTTTGTGATGTCGTGTAGTGGTAGTTTTCAAGTTAACTGCTGCCTTTTACCTTTAGTTCAGAAGAGATTGGCAATTCCTGGGCCGAAATGATCCAAATGATTTTATGGAGTTTACAAACACAGTGGAGAACGTCTTGTAATATGACGTGACATCGCAACGTGGAACAGAGTGTTTTCTGTTTGAGAGAAGAATTCAACACAAGTCCAGGTTCGTTTGTGATGAGGAAACAACATTATAACATAGATCAGAAAATAACTCTTTAAAATGGGCCCTTTAATGTCAACATGATATTTGAGCCATCCTTCAATGCCACTGGTGCAACCTGTCAGGAGCAGTGGGAGAGCACAGAGCAGCACCCAGGGGCCCATCTCCAAATCTTGATCTGCCCCCACCCGCCCTGAGACTTAAAACATGGGAACTTTTTGCCGTGAAGTGGCACATATGAGTTAAAGGTCTTGTCTGAGGAGAGCCAACTATACTCATTATCAGATCAATATCATTACGAATAAATCTCTCTCTCCGCTTCTCTCCCTCTTCCACTTCTCTTCCTCTTTCTCTCTCTCTCTAGACAGTATAAATCCACATTTGTGACAGATAGAGGACACTGTGAAATCCCATTGTCTGCGAACACACCTGCATCGTCCTAAACCACGAGCCGGGCCGTGGTTGTGCCTAACACACACAGTACAGCTGGAGTTTAATGAGCTGTGAAACTTTATGGCTGCACTGTTGGGCGCCGGACTCTCCCATTTGAAGCATGAGCAGTCACGCGGGAATGTAAACAGCCATTTATTAACCCATAATCAAATGTGACTTTATCCCTTTGAAATAATGACTTTTCACGTTGTCTTTTCGAGTAATTTATTCTGGAATTAAACATGGCTGATTTAAATGAAAATGTCCAGTCATTCTCCTGATTGTTCCAAAATGTTAAGTATCCTATATATAGAAAAGACATATTGTGAAAGGAGGAACAAAGTGTTTAAATCTGTCAAACTTGTTCCTAGCCCTCATTTGGCACATCACGTGTAGCACAGCTTTAGAACAGTTTTTTTATTTATATATATTTTTTTCAGATTGTATGGATTGTATGGACTGTGCATATTGATCAACAACAAATGTATCAATCAATCAATCATGCTTTTCAAAATGCTTCACATGCAACAGCAAAATGACAGTAATTTAAACTACAGCAACTCCACCCCCTTGTTTCATCCATACATACAGCAATTTAAACAGAAACATAAAAACATAAAGCTCCTAAAGGTTCTAGTAAAAATAAAAATGGAGAGCTAAGATCAGATGGAGACTAAATAAAGTAGTAATGATAATTTAATTTAAAACAAATATTATAATAACAATAATACTAATAATTTAAGTTGAAACAAGTAAAACTTTCAATTAAAAGCTAAATTACTTTTAAAAATATGAACACTCGCAGCGGACCTCAGATCCTCAGACAGGGGCCGTAAAAGATGAATGACCATGAGTTTTAGTTTGGACTCTTAGGACAGTTAAAAGACGACTACCTGAGGACCTGAGAGTCTGAGAGGCTCATATGATAAAAGCAGATCAGATAAATAAATAGGACTTAAGACCATTAAGAGCTTTATAAACCAATAAAATAATTTGAAAATCTATCTATGTACTGTATATAATATGTTGGAATTAACCAAGAAGTTATTTCTCCTGTATTATATTTATTTTTACATAACCTTTATGCGTAACCTTTATTTGCAGGTAAAATGTTTGAGAATGGATTCTCATTTACAAGCATGACCAGGCCAAGAGTTCCATGATTACCATGGTTGGGGTTGGCTGCTCTTGTGGCTGACTGGCTGACACACTGAGCCGTTTTTCAATTTTTATATTTTTTATCTTGCATTTTAACTTAATATTTTGGGATTTTACCAAGTAAGAAGCACGGAGCTAGCTATGTTAGCCAGCTAGTTCTGGACAGACTTTCTGCA